CACCTATGCTACTAAAGCTCCTGAGATTAGAACTGATGGTTTTTAAAGTTGACAGTGGTTTTAAACTCCAGTTAATGAAGATTTAAAAAGTAAAATTATGGCAGTTAAGAAGAGAAGAGTCAGGTTGACTCTCCCCAGCTGCAGATGCGTCCAGGCTGAGCAGGATGTTTCTTTATAGTTGCTGACCTCCTCACTGTTATAGAGCTGTTAATACAGCTTGTTCTTTGACAATCGTACTTTAAGCCTATCTACTTTGTACCTTAGGTGCCCTGGCCTGTCACACTGGATGATGTATGTTTTAAGTGGAAATATCAGGATTGTTGTGACCTTTGGGAATATGAAAGAAAAGCTGTACAAATCAGAAAAATGTACAAGAGAATTCCTCTTCTGCCAGCAGGTGATAGGCCTTGTTCTGAAATGAAGCAGTCAGAGTATGTATGAGAGCTGAGTGAAACACATTGTCTTTCTTGAACTGAGTACAATTGGCCTTAGATTCTCGCTAGTCTATTTTGTGTATTGGTGATTTCCAGATCACGGTTAGATGTTTTTCCTCTAGAGAAGCTAGTTTGCTTAGCTTAAATTGGTGTGGTGAGGTGCAAAGTAGCCCTGTGTTTTCCTGAATGGATTTACTCTGCCATATGGCAGGTTAGTGAGTTGCCACGACAGATTTGTAATGGGAAAAGGGCTGTGCAGGCAAGGATGTGCGTGATCAGCAGATTTATAGATCAGAAAATGAAATCGGAAGAAAGACTTTCCAGAGTGGCCTTTCCATTTGACAGCTCTAAGTGGAGAGGGTGTGGAATGGTTTTTTAGTGTTTTCCTATTTTAGCTTTTGGTTGTTCCAGCATGTTTTTTTTCTAGCACAGGAGTTGATTTCATAAGGCATCTGTGTCCTGGGTGTTGTGTTGCTGTTTTCCTATTCATAGAAATATTCTCTCTTTGTAAGATTTGAAGCTGTTCTCTATTTCATGTGATAAGATCTCAGTAGCAATTAAATTCCTGAAGACCCATCAAGGCTAAAATGAGGATTTGCCAGACATCAGGTTTTGAGCCACAAAGAGGCTATTCAGATAGATATGATTTAGTGACTGCTAAAATGTTTGAAGAGCAAAACAAAGGGGAAAAAAGTGGAAGCTCATATGTTTAAGTCTACAGTCACTAGCCACAATGTGGCTATTTAAATTAATTAAAATTAAATAAGATTAGAAGTTCAGTTCCTCAGTCTAACTAGCTACATTTCAGGAACTTGCTAGCTGCATGTTGTTGAACAGTGCAAATACAGAATATTTTCAGAACACCGCAGAAAGCTCAGTAGAAGGCCATTGTTTGTCTGAATAGACCAATTTGAGAAATGAGATTTCCTCTTTAATTTGTGTTGCATCCCTATATAATGCTTCTATGACATTAATGTGCAAATGAATCATCTATAGAACTTGTTTAAATTACAGATTTTAGATCCCACCCCAGATGCTAATACATCATGCCTGGAGTGGTGACCAGGAAATCTGTACCTATAGCAAGTACCCTAGGGACTTCTGATGCTAGTTATGCTTCAGGGACTACAGTTTGAGAAATAAAACATTACTGATAGACTTAGGAAATGCCTATTTTTAAATTTTTTTGCCCCTTTATTCCTCGATTTCTTTTGTGTTCCCAGTAATTGGCTGTGAGTACGATAGGTACCAACTTATACTTTGAATTGGTATTGTTGGTGGTTGGTGTCAAGTTGACCCCACATGTGCAGAATAGAATGGCTCCATAGGGTTTTCAAAGCTGTGACCTTTCAGAAGCAGATGGCCAGGCTACCCAGCACCTTTAGGCTAGTTTTTGAGCACTTAACCATATGGGCCATCCAGGTGGTAATACCCACCCACTGTCATTGAATTGATTCCAATTCATAGCAACCCTATAGGACAGAGTAGAACTGCCCCTTAGGGTTTTGAGGCTGTCAATCTCTATGGGAGCAGACAGCCTCAGTTTTCTCCTGTGGGGTAGCTGGTGGGTTTGAACCTCTGACCTTGCGGTTAGCAGCCTACCACTTAACCCTCTGTGTTACCAGGGCTCCAGCTGGTAATAAGTTGTTGTTGTTAAGTACCATGGAGTCAGTTCCGACTCATAGTGACCCTCACAGGGTTTCCGAGGCTGCAAATCTTTACAGGAGCAGAAAGCCTCATCTTTCTCCTGAGGAACAGCTGGTCGTTTCGAACTGGCGACCTTAAGGTTAGCAGTCCGATTCGTAACCACTACGCTACCAGAGCTCCTTTGGTAATAAGTAGCAAGAAGAAAATTAATTTACCACTTTGTCTTTTCGATGTATGTGTTTTGATTTGGCTGCATCCTAAGAAAAGTACCAGAAATGGTACTTCAGAACCATTCCAGATTTTGTGGGAGAATAATTCTGACAAAACACTTTTGACCACTAACAGGTGAACCCCCACAAGTCCTGGTATTATAAGGCAATGAAAGAGAAATATAACACATGATAGCCTCTCAGAACTAGACTATACCTAGTTAAGAAATGGATAAACATAGAGAGGGCAATGACTTAAATAAATGGTACTTAGCAGCAAGTCAGTAATTTAAAAAATAAGAAAAGCATGACCCGACCTGGTTGTTTTCCTTTGTATGATTTGGGGATTTTTTACATAGGGACATGACCTTTGCCATCTGAAATGGGCAATAGCAAATGGGGAGGACCTCTGATCTGGTTCTATGGTATTTTTATTTGTGGATTTTGTTAACAGGACTAGGCCAAAAAGGGCATCTGAAAACAACAACTGAAGGAACTACGCAGAGTATATTGGACTCACACCTTTTCTGGATGACCCCAGAATCATGGGACTGTTTGTGTTTGCTCACAGAAATGTAAAGAAAAATGGAGGAGAAATGGAGGTGACAGAAATTCACTTTATATAACAGAATTCCTTTAGAGATTTTAAAGTCCTGGTGTGTATATATTTTAAACTCTACTACCAGGGCTCTAAAGAATTAAAAAAACTGTTCTTTTACAGCAGTTGTCTAGCTTCCTACCCTTGAAGAAATTGCCCATGAGGTTTCTCTGGTGAACCATATTGAGGATACAGTGTTAGGAAGAAAATCTAAAAAAAAAAAAAAAACCAGCATGTTATCACTGTTTTAAAAACATTATCACATATTTCATCTAGAAGATATATTACTTTTTCCTTTTGTATTCGTTGTTGTTGTTAAGTGCCGTCGAGTTGGTTCTGACCATAGCAACCCTGTATAAAGTTTCCGAGGAACAGCTGGTGAGCTTGAACTGCCAACCTTGCAGTTCAAATGGCTTTGCAGTCCAGCGCATTAACCCACAGCGCCACACCAGGACTCCTTTGTATTGGTAGTTTGACTAAATACGGTAATTCCAGTACCTACCCCACCTCTTGTCCTAAGAGTTAGATTTATCTATATCTTTACTTATATATCCTTTCAGTTTAAAAAGAGTGGGAAATGTCCCGCCCTGTACCTTTCAAAAGGACACATGAAAGGTGTTATTTAGATTGAGGCTCACAGTTAGCCAAGTCTTCGGGGCTCAAAATAACACTTTGTGTAGTAGAGGACTTTCTCCTTCTTTTCTTGGTATTATAAGGCAATAAAAAAGAATTATAATACATGATCACCTCTCTGAAAGGGATTCTATCTAGTTAAGAATATAAGAGATTAAGCAAGAATCATTCCCACCCCCTCCACATACAGAGTAGACAGGGATGGGCAACTTGGACATTGGCTACCCAAAATGGGGAGCGGGGGGCTACAAAGGCAAGAAGTGACTGGCTTACAAGCTTTCAGGAGGGAACCTAGAGCCAGAGGGCCTGGAGGAAGGTAGAATCTCCAGTGAGTAGTATTCAATCTGATTAGCCGGAGCTGATGAAATGAAATGCAGATGGGTCTCTTGTGATACAATAGTGAATAATTGTTATCAGGACTGATTGTGAGGGTTGGAAATGTAAAGGTAGATGTTTTATAGCAAGGAAGGGAGTGATTAACTTTCCAGTCTAGGAGCGGAGGTCCCTAGGACCATCAAGGGAGAAGAGCAGAGAGCGGGACCCTACCCAGAGAAGCAGTGATGCCTGAGATGGAGGCAGAGACGATGACGTGGAACAATGGAGCATCTGGGGACCTTAGATCCAGAGAGGGAGAGAGGCTGTGTGCTGAAGACTGGGGGTGGGGTGGGCGGGGGGAGTATAGGGGGCAGGCTTGCAGGGTACACTCTTTAGTTGGTTGATGATGCATGGAGGGGATTGTAACCATGGCAATGAAACAATATACGATAGAATGAATATAAAACTAATGTTCTCCCATGTAAACTATCATATAATTCACAATAAAACATTAAAAAAAAAAAAGAATATAAGAGATTATGTCTAGTTAGAGATATCTGGTTATCTCTGTTTTAAAATACATTGACACTGACTAAGATTGTCTTTCTGTTTAAGAATCTTCATTGTTCCTAAAGGTATTTGAAACACTATTTGTGTGTCTCTTCTCTTCCCTCTCCTGTTCCTTTCTGCATACATCCAGGATCTTGATCCATAATGAGATATAGAAGCTTATCAGTTCAGAGATGGTTCTAAATGCAACCTTTCTTTCCCCTGGTAACCAGTTGGGTGCACTGTGATTTTTCCTAAGAAACACAAATCAGTCTCATATGAAAAATCAGCTGATATTCAAGAATGAAAATGAGTTCAGAAAATGGAAGTTTCAAATTGGTGCTATGGGAAAGGCCCCCAATATATTTCATGATCCAGACTCTTAAAGAAATTAACTGCCCTTCTCTTATTCTCAGTCTTGACACCAGATTTGCTATTTTTGTTTTTAGCCTCCTTTCAAAGGAACTAATTTTGAATGGAAAACAAATGAGTCTTGAGTGGGGAATGCCAGTTGGAAGCCCTTTTTTTAGAAAATAACTTGCTGAAAGTTCTTTTTTCTGTCTTTTCTGTGGCCCCTCTTCTGCTAGATTAAAAGAGTGGAGACTGCCCTAAGACATGGATAGATGCAAACATGTGGGGCGGTTGCGGCTTGCCCAGGACCACTCCATTCTGAACCCTCAGAAGTGGTGTTGCATGGAGTGTTCCACCACGGAGTCCGTGTGGGCTTGTTTGAAGTGCTCCCACGTGGCCTGCGGCCGATACATTGAGGATCATGCTCTGAAGCACTTTGAAGAGACTGGACACCCGTTAGCCATGGAAGTCCTGGATCTCTACGTGTTCTGTTACCTGTGCAAGGACTACGTGCTCAATGATAACCCAGAGGGGGACCTGAAGCTGCTGAGAAGCTCCCTCTTGGCAGTCAGGGGCCAGAAGCAGGACCAGCTGGTAAAACGTGGGCGGACCCTGCGGTCCATGGCTTCAGGCGAGGACCTGGTCCAGCTGCAGCGCACTCCTCAGGGACAGCCGCAGATGCTGACGGCTCTGTGGTACCGGCGCCAGCACCTGCTGGCCAAGACGCTGCGGATCTGGTTTGAGAAGAGCTCCCGGGGCCAGGCGAAGCTGGAGCAGCTGCGTCAGAAGGAGGCACTGGAGCGCAAGAAGGAGGCGGCGCGCCAGCGGAGGCTTGAGGTGAAGCGGCGGCTGCTGGAAGAGCTGGCCAGCGCTCCTCCACGCAAGAGTGCCCGACTGCTGCTGCATGCCCCCCGTGACATGGTCAAGACTAAGGCCATGGCCGAGAGGCGCCCCGCTACTCTCCCTACCTCAAGGAAAGCACCCAGCGGCAAACTCAAGCAGCACCGCAAGCCGGCCATGGCCCCAGGTGTCACCGGCCTGCGGAACCTGGGGAACACCTGCTACATGAACTCCATTCTCCAGGTCCTCAGCCACCTCCAGAAGTTCCGAGAATGTTTTTTGAACCTTGATCCTTCCAAAACGGAACAACTGTTTCCCAAAGCAACCAACGGGAAGGCTCAGCTAGCCAGCAAGCCAGCCAGTAGCTCAGCCACTGACGTGTCAGCCAGGAGTGACAAGAGCGACTCGTGGGACCGAGAAGGCCTCTGCTTAAACGGTGGGGCCTCCATCAGCAGGAGCCTAGAGCTCATCCAGAACAAGGAGCCGAGCTCAAAGCACATCTCCCTCTGTCACGAACTGCACACCCTCTTCCGAGTGATGTGGTCTGGGAAGTGGGCCTTGGTGTCGCCCTTCGCCATGCTTCACTCTGTGTGGAGCCTGATCCCTGCCTTCCGGGGCTACGACCAGCAGGATGCGCAGGAATTTCTCTGTGAGCTGTTGCACAAAGTGCAGCAGGAACTCGAGTCAGAGGGGACCACGCACCGCATCCTCATCCCCTTCTCCCAGAGGAAGCTCACCAAGCAAGTCTTAAAAGTGGTGAATACCATCTTTCATGGGCAGCTACTGAGTCAGGTAGGTGTGTGCGCCACCCTCACCCCAACTCTTGCCATCATAGCAGGAGGGAGGCTTGTGTGCTAGAGCTTGGGCTCCCGTGAGTAGCCCCCCTCAGATTATGGGACTAATTAGAAAACACTAAACCAACTGCCCAGTCGATTCTGACTCTTAGGGACTCTGTAGGACAGGCCAGAACTGGCCCGCGGGGTTTCTGAGGCTGTAGTCTAGAGAAACAGACTGCCACACCTGTCCACAGAGGGGCTGCTGGGTTTCACGGTCCACCTTTTGGTTAGCAGTCAAGTTCTTAACTGCTGTGCCACTAGGGTACTTGGATTAGGGTAGCCGCTGTTCCTGCCATTCTGCATATTTGAGGGTAGCCATTGTACTTTTTCATTACCTTGTTCACTACAACGGCATTGTTGGTGAACTTGCCTCCTGTCTTTCTGGCCAGTTTTTTTAGTTAAATTTGCATGTCACTTCATTTTCAGTGGATGTTTTTAACTTTTTAAAAATAATATGGGAAGTAGGGTATTTCACTGTTATAATCCCATGCCTATTGTTGGCATCTATCCTCTGATCAGTTTTTTGGGAAACTGAACACAGTGTGATTATAACCCTGTCCCAAAGTAGTTTAAAGAGCAGTCTTCCTTCCCAGGTCTTCTTAGGCATTTTTCACACATACGAAAGGGAGATGGTTGGAAGGTTGCCAAAGGCCTAAGCAAGCAAGCCTCCTTCCTATTCCCCATTACCCATTCCTTGCCTGAATCTAGGGATGGAAGCAAAGATTCATAGATAAGGTCTTGTGAGAATATGCAGAAAAAGAATTTTTAAAGTAAACAATGGGGATGCAACTCTAGGGGTTCAGACAAAACCTCTGCTACACCTAGATTTTGTGAGTTGGTTTTAAAAGCGTTTTTTAAAGACTGATGAATTGGGATGGAAAGAGGAATTTTGTTTCAGCCTTAGTTTTCTAGTATGTGAAAGGGTGCAAATTCATCAGTACTTTCTCTACCTCTAATGGTCCTTCCTTAAAAAGAGAGGTACATCTGGGAAGGTTGGCATGGGAGAGAAGGTCCAGTTGCACAGTGCTTTGAGGCACTGTAAGCGCAGGGATCCAGGTAGAGGTGCTACAAGGGAAAAAATGGCCAGAGGAGAGGCCAGGTGGACTGTACATGAAATAGCATAGTCAGGGGCAGGAGGAGTATGTGGATGAGGGAAGCAGACAGTGATCTGCAAATTCTCCATCTCAGACTGAGCCTGGGGATGATTCCACCATCATATGCAGTTTATACTACTGCATCAGTGACTGGGAGAGCATGCTTCAGGTGAGGAGCAGGAAACAAAAAAAAGGGATAGGTAATAATCTCCAGCCAGCATCAGATAGTTAGAAATGTATGCCAGAGATGATACGGTCTAATTCTTTTCATTAAAGAATTATATGTATTATTCTAACATTACAATTAATTAAAAATCAAACTCTATGCTTAGTTTTCTCAAGTTACATGTCTTGAATTAAGCGAGCAAAAATCCATGTGGGAAGCATGGAAGTTCTATCTCATGTAAATAAATCTTTTTATTCTAGGTCACATGTATAGCATGCAATTACAAATCCAATACCATTGAACCCTTTTGGGATCTGTCCCTGGAATTCCCTGAGCGCTACCACTGCATAGAAAAGGGATTTGTCCCTTTGAATCAGACAGAGTGCCTGCTCACTGAGATGCTGGCCAAGTTCACAGAGACAGAGGCCCTGGAGGGGAGAATCTACGCTTGTGACCAGTGTAACAGTGAGTGCTGTGTGGATAATGGGGTGGGAGTGTAACTGGAATATCAGTGTAAGGTGCTTCTTTGTCCAGTTTGTCAAAATAACACTGATGATAATGTGTGGGTCTAAGGCATCTTCTAAAAGGGTGTTTTTCTCCCATTTTACTTAAAGCAAGGCCAAATATGTAGGTATTATATACCTAAAGAAAAAACCAGAAACCTAGGGGTTGTGCCTCCTTTGGCCCTTCCTGATTAACATTAGTTGTTGGTGTATTTGGGAGGCCTTTGAAAATGTGGTTCCTGAAGTGAGAATCTAAGAATGTTAGTATTTATCATCAGTGCTATAGGGGCCCTACTTAAATGAGTGGATGTGTAGAGTCTGACAGTTCTTACTCCACCTAGTTGAGGGCTCTGGTATCAGAATGCTTTTGTACTGAATTGATAGATGTTATAGTCTGTCAGAAGGGATGCTAAAAATTGTTACAGTGAGACCAAGAAAACAAGTCTGAAGGTGCATGGTTTAGTGGCAGCTTCAGACATTTTGAGGGGTTTTTTTGTTGCTGTTTTTCCTCCTTCACATTTCAGAGGGTCAGAAGTAATTTCTGTTGTGACTTTCATTTTAAAGTGAAAGCCTTTCCATAGGGTTATGTGGCATCTTACGCACGGCCCCTTTCTGTCTTGCTACATTTCATGCTTCTGCCAACCTAGCATGGAAAGGACATGCAAAAATATTTGAAAGCTTGTGTTTGTTTGCTTTGTATAGCATACAAAGACTTGAAAACTAAGAATATAATGGATTGTGCAGAGAACTAGAAATAATACAAGATTGGGGGGAAGAAATCTTATGATAGCACTTTAATGTATTTGCATATGGGTTTTTTATGTTTTGTTTTGTTTTTGCATATGGTTTTTAAAAACAGGTAGGACAAGCCTGTTCTGCTCTTGGAAGAACCAGGACAAAAAAATCAAAAGGCATGCTTTGATACCATTTGCCATTTTAAAGCAAAAGTTGAAATGCTATCCTTAGTTAACTGTAGGCCCACCTGTCATGTTCCATGTTGAGCTCCAGAGGCAGGCAGGTGAATTTAATTATTTTATTAGTGCAGTATCTGGTCATGTTTTTAGAATGGTGACTCATACGGCTTTTTACTTGTAAGGAGCAAAAGAATGTTAACAGCTTTAACTCCATCATTCTCAGATATGATAGATTAGGCAAGAAATACTTTCATTTATTTTGGGGAAAAAGGAGTGTTTCTCTGGTTGCCAGATGTGCTCATTTTTCACCATGTCTCTAGACAAGTGCAAACAATGGTAGGAGAAGGAAAGCTATGGTGAGGGGTCAAGATGCATTGATTTATTGCTTGTGAAGTTTCAGAACTAGCAGCCTTTTACCTCTTGGTGTAGCCAGCTTAATCAAATGGCGACAGAACTGATCAATCTCAATTGAATCAGTAAGTTCTTTTTCTTTGTGAATTTCATTTTAGGAAAACAAAGCCAGATTCCACATTGTCTTCATCTTGGCTCACACACTCCCTCTGCTGAGGGTGGCAGTCACTGCTAGGGTTCCCAGGCAGTGCTGCAATAATTTTTAAAAATCTGCTAGTGAATAAGAATGTAAAATAAGGCCAGGTTCCTCTTTTAAAATTCTCTTTCTGTTCATGCCCCACATATCACAACCGCCAGCCGTGGAAAAGCTCCTCCTCTGGCACACTCATTCTGCTGCAATCCATTGTGAGAAGCAACAGCTCCGCTTCCTCTTGTCACAAAAAGCTCTGTGATACGTCATCTGGCTGGGATTGGTTACCTTTCCTGAGTGATACAGACAGGACTTGGAATCAGATGCCCAGCTCTTCAGACACTGAGACCCTGATACTAGCAGCTCAGAGGCCAGCAGCAGGCACCACATTGAGTACTTGTTTTATATTCCTGCCCATTCATTGATTTAATTACTATAATAACAGAGCAGTCAACAGAAAAGGCTTTGGATGGAAATTAAGAGAACTTTCCATTACTTATTTGCTGATATTTAGAAATACATTGCCCCCACAATTCAGAAACAAAATTGGAGGGTGAGTACTAACCCTGCTTTGTACCGGGTGACCGTCAGCCTTGTCCTGCATGTCCAGCTCACAGCTAAGAAGCGTGTTTCGTTTTTAGGTCCAGCATAAATTACATAGAACTGACAGTTTATTTTCTAAATAGTTGTATGTGCCATAAGCAAATCATGGGGAAAGAATCTGTTCCAATACTCTGTCCTTTATTAATCCCGAATCCTATTATCTTCATCTGAAAATATATGTATTATCCTCATTTTACTGGTGAGGAAACTGAGTTTCAGAGGTTTAAGTAACTTGTTCAATAGTGTACATCTGGCTGTAAGCAGGAAATAATAGCATTAGGCCTATCCGATTGGGAAGGGAGTGTGAGAAGAGTGCTTTTAAGTTATATTATGGTATGTAACAATTAAGTTGCAAACTTATTCATAAAAGTATAAACCCTAATATATAGACTTCTATATGGTGTGGTGCTGTAGGATAAGCACTGGACCACAAGGTCAGTTTGAACTGCAAGGTCAGTGGTTCAAATACACCAGCCACTCCTCAGAAACCTTATATAGGGTCATTATGAGTCAACCTATTTGAAGGCTATTAATAACAACAACTATATCTGCATGATGTTACATTGACCTATTATATGCCTACCCCACCCCCCAATATCCACTGCCATCGAGTTGATTCCAACTCATAGCAAGCAACCCTATATAGGGTTTCTGAGACTGTAAATCTTTACAAGAGCAGACAGTCTTATCTTGGTCCCATGGAGCAGCTGGTAGGCTTGAACCATTGATTAACTCACAGCGCCACCAGGGCTCCTTTCCTGTTATACCGTATCCCATTTATTAGTCCTTCATATCCTGAACCCATACCAACTTTGGAGTTTTTTGATGGCTGAAATTAGAAAGTAGGTGTGTCAGGATTAGGTTTGGTTGCTTATAACCGTCAACCCAAATAACATTCGTTTAAAATGAGATACAGCTTTATTTCTCTATTATATAAGAGAAGTCAGAAGGCCATTCAGACAGACCCTGGCATGGTGGCCACATGGCCACCAGGGACCCAACTTTCTCTTACTGCTTTCCTGTTCTTGGGCATGGCTTCCATCCTCAAGATTACCTCATGGTCCAAGAGTTTCCAGCATTTACAGAAAGGGAAGGACAAAGGATGAACCTCATAACTGAGTTAGTGCTCCTTCAGCAGCCATCCTGAGTGCCACACAGTCATGTGTGTACTCTCGTTATTTGGCACTTGTATGGCCACACAATGCAAGCATGTGAGGCTGGGAAATGCAGTCTTACAGGTGGTCACATTGCTGTCTTAGGGTCCCAGATTGAAAAATAAGAAGAATGCATATGGTGTGGCAAGTATTGTCTCTGCCATTATGAAGGAAGAATGATGCTCCTGACAACCTGTCTTATACCTTCCCAAACCGTATAGGCAAACGACGAAAATCCAACCCAAAACCCCTTGTTCTGAGTGAAGCTAGAAAGCAGTTAATGATCTACAGACTACCTCAGGTCCTCCGGCTGCACCTTAAAAGATTCAGGTGAGCTTGCTTGGGGAGTCCCAGGAGGCTGAGCTGTGGGAATAGCTGCTTCAAAGGTTTTTGTGAGGGCAAATGTCTTCTTTAGTGTTGGGAGAAGCCTGTTCTCTTGAGACCCTGTACTTTTCTGTGGAGATCCTGTGCCTCACATCCACTGAGCCAAGCAGAGGATGGGGCCTCTGCCCTCACGTCTCGGCTTAATTGGCTGTGCCTGTGCCCTGAATGCCTGTGCACAAAGGTTTTCAAGCCTGGCTTGGGTTTGTGCCACTTCATTGTCAAGATTAACTATAAGAAAAATCTGTGAAAAGAAGAGCAGGCAGTAAGCTTGAAGGAAATTCTTACCTGAATAGCTTGTTTTGCTTCAGAGTATATGGTGGAACATTCACAGCAAATCCATGTGGACAATGAGTACCACCTTTTTATTGATGGGAAAACAAAAGCTGGAAGGTTAGGTTTCCAGAATTTTCCTTGTTCTGTCTACCTCTACTTATGATCACAGATGCCAGTTTTTACTAGTAAGAAGTTTATGTCCATGTCCTAGGTGGTCTGGCCGTAATCATCGAGAGAAGATTGGGGTCCATGTCGTCTTTGACCAGGTATTAACCATGGAACCTTACTGCTGCAGGGACATGCTCTCCTCTCTTGACAAGGAGACCTTTGCCTATGATCTCTCCGCAGTGGTCATGCATCACGGGAAAGGGTTTGGCTCAGGACACTACACAGCCTATTGCTACAACACAGAGGGAGGTGCGTGTGCTTTACTCTGTGGGGTGGGGGAACACGGAAAAGGGTTGGTTTGTCCACCTTCTATTGCTTGCCTTTTATTTCAACTCCATGGTCATCTTCGGGTGAAATTACATACATTAAAATCCAGTGGAAAGAATTATGAAACTTGGATGCAGATTTTTGATATATCACTTTCTAAGTAACAGCACAAGGAATTAAGGGAACAGATATGTAAAGGGCTCAGAACCGTGCCTAGTGTGTAGTAATTGCACCGTCAGTTTTGGAGGTCGGTATTAATGCTACTTCTTTCTGATGATGTGGAAACAGTAGTGCTGCTTAATCTCATGGAGCTACCTACCTGATAGCAGTACTTGATCGTAGATGATAGATACTTGAGAGATAGATAAATCTTATTAGCCGAAGCCCATACATAGTAAAGTTGAGGGCACTGACTGAGTACTTACTATGTCCTGGGCACCATGATAGGTGTGGGGCTACAAGGACCCCTCCAAGCAGCTTCCAGTACTTAGGCTCCAGAGGGATACCTCCCAGCTGCTGCCCTGAGGCAGATGGGCTACGGATGTATTTCCCTTGGGGCAGCCAGAACCTGTGAGCAAGTAAGAATTTTCCTTTATCATTTCCCTTTTTCCATTTTCCCTCTCCTCATCCTTCCTCTTTTCATATCTTAGCCCCTGTTCTCCTGGCTCTCTGTGCAGAAAGTCCTAATGGCAATGAACAAGCCTGAGTAAAATAAGGACCAAAATTCCAGTCAGTCAATATTGTAAACAATGTGACGGTGGGGTTTGGAGGGAAGGGGACCCAGTGGTTACAAAGAAGTCTTGTAGACTCTCTTCTGGTTCCATTTACTTGTCTCTTCCCCCAGCTAAAATAATCAATGGTTGCCTGTATTCAGAATTCCTTTGCCCCTCGTTTTGCCTGCTCATAAAAACTATGAAAGTTGGGTAGTCATTGTCTCTTTCTCTCCTTTGGTGTCCTAGGTTTTTGGGTCCACTGCAATGACTCAAAGCTGAATGTATGCAGTGTGGAAGAAGTGTGCAAAACCCAGGCCTACATCCTTTTTTACACTCAAAGAACAGTGCAGGGCAACAGAAGACTCTCAGAAACCCAACTCCAAGCTCAGGTGCAGCCCAGCAACGATGAGGGCAGACCACGGACATTCCCCTGAGTGGGAGGCTTGTATCAAGAACTGGCTTGTTTTTAAACGATTGGTGTTCGTACATCTTTCCTCTTGTAGGAAATCAGGCTGACTGCAGGAACCGAGTACTAGGTTTGGCTCACTGGGTCTGGAGTAGAAGGTGCCGGGTGACTTGTGCCCTCTCCTAAAATTTATAGTCACTTTCTTTTGAATGGATTTGGAAATTCCCTCCTTTCATAGAACAAATCAAAAGGAGTAACTTCTATGAAGATTCTGAATATAGAGGGACCTGGGTATAGGGGTGGGGGTGGTAAACTGATCTCAGCAAGAGAATCCATGTTTCCTCTCCATTTTGTGATTCCCCTGCAAATCCAGGGCCTCCTGGCAGTCCCAGAATAAGCCTCCCAATGTGAGTAGCCCTGGTCAGAGCATGTGAGGAGGGTCCATGGGCTGGATAGGGTTGTTTCAGTACAGAGTTGAAGTCTAAGGATTTGTTCCCACAAAAGAAATAACCTTTAAAGGTTGGAAAGCGTCCTTTTTCAGGGGCTAACAGTTGAAGAGCGGAGTGAGTTACATGGAGCAATTTTCCCCATGCAAGATGGGAGGTTTTTCAAGTGTCAGCCCTTCCTGGCTACTGCTGTCATCTAATCATTCCGTACTTTAAAGACTGTAGATCATCCCTTCATTCAAAAGAAGGGCCTGTTCACATGGGAAACAACAGGCTAGTATATTTTCTTTGTTGCATGCTGGGCCAAAGGACACTCCTGGCGAAGCAAATCCCGGGTTCAGGTCTTGGCCAAGTACAGGCTTGGGTTTAAATTGGATCAGTTGGAGGTGGGCATGGACAGCTGGCAGTCCAGGGCTATCCAGCTGCTGTCACTCATTGTCACCATGGGGTCGCCCACAGTCTTTCCTACATCTGGAGCTAGAACATTGGTGTTCGCTAGCAGGCTTGGGAAGGAGCTCTGGTAGCATAGTAGCTACAAGTCAGGCTGCTAACCTAACAGTCAGCAGTTGGAAACTACCAGCTGTTCCACAGGAGAAAGATGAGGCTTTCTGCTCCCGTAAAGATTTACGGCCTCGGAAATCCTGTACAGGGTCTCTATGAGTCGGAACCGATTCCACGGTATACCACCACCACCAGGCTTGGGAGTTTTTGCTTTCCTGGGGCTTGGGAATTGCTGAAGCATACCCCCTATGTCCAGTTTGTTGCTGATAGTCAGTCACCCTTACTGATTCTTACCCACACTCAGAGAAAAAATCCAGACAACAGCAAAAGTGGTGTGTCCTTTACCCCAGTGCTGGTAAAATGATCTTTCTTTTTCAATTGGATCAATGTTTTAAGTGGAATGAAATGGCCGTGGAAACCCTCATCCCATCAGGCACCTTCACAATCCTTCACTTAGACTCCCCAGTGAATCTGAACAGCAAACCGTCACTTCACTGTGGTGGTTGCTGCAGTGAGCCTCAGCCTTTCACTATGAATGCTCATCTTTTGACTGAGTGTATCATAATGCTATTTGAATTCAGGTAGAAGTATAATTGTCACTTGAAGGGAGTAGATGTGGAAGGGAGTGTGGGGAGGGGAGGGAAGAGGGGAAAGAGAGGCTGAAGAATGAGGGTGTAGTAGCTTTAGCGATGTTGATGAGCCTCATTTCCTGAGCAGATCTGTAGTTTGCTGTTGACCTCTTTGGAGAGGAATTCTCCCATAGGACCTGCCAGACAGCACTGAGACATGGAGAAAATTCAGACAGAAGATGGCTCGCCTTGATAGGGAAAGAGGAGTGACTATGTTTTAAATTAAACTTGCTTTATCCAACACTGTGAGGTTTCTGTAATATTTAGCTTTTATTTGGAAGCGATAGCGTATGGCATTTTTTTATGCTGTTTGGTTTATATTGTCTACTGCAGGCTGCTTTGTACTAGCTTTGCCCCGGGCTCATCCTCTCCTGGACACTGTTTTAAAGTGTCACAGCTGCCCATGCTGCCAGAGGCTCTGTTGTGAAGGTGTTCTCTCAAGATCCACAGTTTTGTCAGCAGGATGGGTGATGGAAAAGACCATTCACGTAAAAGAAAAAAAAAAAAAACTAAGGAGAGTAAAAAGAAAAGGAAAATAGAAATTGTGCCTCATCTTTCATTGAATTCTATATTTATTATTCTTAAAAAAAGAGAACTTAAAAGATGGAGAACTAATAGAGCATCTACTTCATCCCTCAGGCTATCTAGGGGGAAGTTATTAATAAACATTTAGTGGAAAATGAAAAGATCTTCAAATTTAATTTTTAAAAATAGTTTTATACCAAATGTTATAAGGATTATTAAGCAGATTAAGGACTGTGTCAAAAAGTGCTTAACTTAGCTAAGCACCCATATATCAAATTAATAAAATGATTTAAAATGAGTGGTGTAGAAACCAGTATCCGAGTCCCCACTGAGCTCCACACACGTAGAGACACCCACTGTAGACCGAGGCATTCGGGCCCTCACAGGCAGCAATGGCACTAGATGCTGGTGAGAAGTTATAAGTGGGTTTTTATTGAAGCACTTGCTGCTGCATACGCCAATGGCTGTGGTGAGGAATACATCCTTTTGTCTTTCATTTATTTATATCTTGGCAGTAGGTAAGTTTCTCAGTTGCATCTTTACTTTAAATCGAAGCATTCTAAAGAGAAGATAGTAAGATCCAAGTAGAAGTGAACTCAGTACTGCCAAATCAAACCTAAGATCTCTGAAATGGCCTGCTTCTCTCCCAGTTCTGTTCCAGGAACCTTCTGGCTGGCGTGTTTACTTTCTGCTGTAGCCAGCCTAGATAAATACACCGTGGCCCTCAAAAATTCGAATTTTACCTCAATCTAGCTGACCCTCATATCTGTGGTTCCCTCTGAGATGAGCATCCATGCTAAGTGTTAAAAAAGAAAGAATGCCCTCAGAACTGAAGCTCTTACTAAGTGGTGGGCAGAGCTATTGCCAGCTTTGATCCAACCCTCTCAGGCTGAGGGTGGACATCCCCCCACTGTAAAGAATTTCCAGGTGTCTCTGAAAATGTCATGAATAAAATTGGAACCTGTAGAAATGTTAATGTGTCCTATGGACTCAATAGCAGAGTTTATTTTTGTTGTTAATGACTAGTCTTCTAGAATCAATGATTGTATGTGTTCCCTCTGGCTTGCTTGCAGTACCTTCCATCCAAATGCAAGGGAAGAACCAATGAGGCGGGCTGGCTGGCAGTGCAGCCCAGCCTTGGCCATGCCCCAGTGTAAGCCCGAGAGGTCAATGGCAGTGCAGAATGAGAACGGGGTGGGGGTGGGGAAGTGGGTGGGCTGGCAGGGGAGAAATGGAGTTTTGTCTACTGATAAAGCTTTGTGAACTAATTTTTTACAATTCTGACAATTTGGTGCCTTGTTCTCAATTATGGTTTGCATGGAATTGAAAAAGAGTAAGGGAAAGGATTCCGTCTTGTCATTTCGAGTGGCAAATGGGTCTGTGTCGTGTTTAAATGACAGGCTTTTTGGTATCACAGGCTTTTAAAAAGCATTTCATATCTTTTGTGTGTGAATGCAAATTATTCTTACCAGCAAGTTCTGAAATTTACTGTAATGTCCAAAATCTTTGTATTTGTAATATTCATCAAAATGACTGCCTCTCACAGCAGGCCATGTAACCCATCCTTTCTTACCACACCCCAATTAGGTTTCAAACAATAGCTCAGGCCTTTTCAAGTCAGGCTGGGAGAACTGCCCCTTCCTAAACAACATACTCTCCCTATTAAGATTCTGGGATTTTATCTTATAGAGTGGCGGGGTTGCTTCTCCAGCTGGTTGGGAGAGCACAAATATTCAGAAAAGGCCTTTTCGTTTTTATCAACACAATGACTAATGCTGGGCAACCTAGGGTCGAAGTACCGCAAAAATGGTTCCTCCTCAGATGGTATCTCTTTATTTATTGCACAAATTTTCAGGAAGCAGTGGAAAAACAATCCCCTAGATGTGAACCTTAAGACTATATAAAGCAAACCAGTTCACTGTGTAAGACATAAAGGGAATATAATGCATAAGAGACGGCTGAAAGTCTGTCCTAGTCTCCCAGGCCCTTCCTTGCCCTGATGGAAAGGCGGTGATGAGATCTAGTCTCACCTACGGGCCTGTTTATAGCATGCTTAACACCAAGCACATGAGACTTCACCAAAGGGGTTTTAAAAGCTCACCACTTGAAGCACATTAGATAACTGGGTCCTTCAGCCTACTTACTTGTCTAGTTAGATGAAGTTTTATCTTTAGGGTAAAACTTCCTATTGTCCATTTTGGTTTTGACTAGGTAAGTATGCATCTCCCTGGTGGTTCAGATTCTTTTTTAATTCAGCACCGAAGCTGAAAAGCGCCTTCTATATATAACTGTGAGTTTAGTTTATATCTTTACATGGTTAAATTAACCATTCTGTTTGTCTAGGGCTTTGACTTTAACCACTGTGTACTTACTTGTTCAACCTATACATGGTTGACCACACCACAGCTATCAAGGCAAGCAGCCATTTTTGTGACCTCTTTCATACTTCTGCTGGTGTGTTTCCACTTAAAATCTAAGAGACTTTGCTAGTGCTGTGGGTTAACTAGTCAGGGCTGAAAGATGACATAAAATTGGTTTCCCTTGGTGAGAATGTTATGTGTTGGCAATAGTGAATGCTAGCACTTTCATTTACAAAATTAATGATTATTCATCAAATTTTTGAAAAACCACAGATTTGGCACCTGTATTTGCTTAGCTTTTTAGCTCTTTAAGTTTTAATTAAACCAGTTTAAATGAAACCTTACAGAACCATTTGATTTAAAAACCAACCAATAATAAGCATTATTACCTTAAAGCTAAACCACTACATTTTGAATGAAATTTGAATTACACTTTCTGGAAGCTGTCTTGTCTTAATTCTTGCTGGATTCTGAATTTCAACTTTGGAATTTTTGACCCAATAAGAACTGTTCAAAATTATGAGAAGTTCTAGAAGCAAGCTAAATGATGTGAATTTCATTTGTATAAAAAGCTGACATTTCTTGTCTTAGTAGTGGTCTGATACAGGTCTAATGGGGTTTAGAGTCTATGCTATGGCTTAAAAGTTTTAATCATCATTTGAGGTAAAATGGGAGGATGGTTTGCTCTCATGTATGTGGTTTGCTCTCATATATCCTTCTTCAACATTATAACCAGTAAGATATAAAAACTTTACAGAACATCTGTGGTCTCAGTCAGTGCAAACACAAGGGTCTTGCTTCATGTTAAGGTAATCACAAACCTGAACTCACAAACTCATAGCTCCTTGCTTCTATAAGACAGAATGTGATTAGCGCACAAGAGAATGGTGCTTTAAAAAAAAAGAAAAAGAAACAACATATTTTTAAATGTCATTCTCATACAGCTTTCCTAATAAGATTTGAGCTGACAGGGTCAAAAAAGGACTATTTTGTACTTTTTACCTTTAGTGAACTGATTGCTAGGGACAACATTGTCAGTTATAACAAGAAAACTATTAAGCCACTATGGTGCATTTACACTGATTCTCCTTACAATTAATGTCCTTTAATCAACTTACCACTTCCATAGGAGATTTAACACATAAAAACAGTATTATAAAAGGAAAAAAGGCCTGGGGGGAAATGCCATGGGGAACTTGGTTTAGAACCAAGGACACACTCAAATTGATACCCACTTCTGAAGAGGACAGAGACACTAACAATTTTAAACCAAACAGCTCTACTCATCTCCACCTCTTCCCATGCCAATTCCTTACATTATTCCATTTCCAAAGAATCCAGAGCCCCTGGATAGTGGCACCACCATCAACTTTAGGGTCAAAAACATCCATTTCCTTGTGAAGGAAGCAAATTTCCTCAAGCAGAAGTCACTTTAGTGCCCACCTCCCAGGCTTACTGACATTTTGCCTCCATCTGCACATCACTGCCCTCTTCCTGCTACCAAATTCCACACTGTTACAGCAACAATGCCTCCCTGGTGCCTGGAAAACCCATCCAATGCACTAAAATGCTATGCAACACCAAATGGCTTCTTCCCCCAGTACTGCTCAGAAATGGAAATTTCCTCAAGAATAAACTTCATTCTATGTTAACATCAATATATGGTGGTTAGTTTTTTGTTGTTTCCCCCACCACCACCTCTTTCTTTTAAAAGAAAACAAAGCAAGCCACCTCCATTGCAATCCATGTTTGGGGCTTGTTCCTCTCTCTCTTGAGTGTGAAATATAAATCATGTTTTTATGATTTTTGTAAATCTTGACTTTTTACACCTTGTTTTTGTAAGCGGAAGTTTCTTATTAAAAGAATAAAATGGCCGTGTTTGTGTGCATTCTTTATTTCACGTACTAACAAAATACTATTATAAGTTATTCCTCAGGACAAGAACAAAGATCACTCCTGTAGAAACTTAGAAGCTATGTACACAACTTTACAGAACAGCAGACAACACTTTGGCTGAAGCCTGACTATTGACCAGAGAACACAGTTTTGAGTGAACCCATGGAAGAAATGGAAACCAGACAGAGAAGGAAAGGTGCCCATCTGAATCAATTGTCAGTTGCCTTCAGGGCAAATCTTGTAGAGCCACAGAACTGGAAGCTGTTTTTGGAAGGTTCATGTACAGCGCAGGGTTCCATGTGTCTGCAATCAGATGACAATAGGAGGCATTAACAATGTTAACACTGAAGGGAAATTGGTTAAGAGGCAAATCCCTTCCAACAACTGGAGACACAACCAAAGGATTGCCATCGGATCCCTTTTCTATATAACAAAATCAAAACTAAACCTACTAACGTGAATCAATTTCAACTCCTTGCGACCCTATGTAGTTTCCAAGACTGTAAATGTTTATGGGACCAGATAGCCTCTTTTGTTTTTTTTCTCCGAGCTACTGGTACTTTTAACTGATGACCTTGTGGTTTGCGGTAGAGCGCCTAATCCACAGTGCTATCAGACTTTAGTAGTTTATGAATGTTAAGTGCCATTGAGCCAATTCCGACCCATAGCGACCCTGTGTAGGATTTCCCAGGAGCGACTAGTGATCTCGAACCACCAACCCTGCAGTTCAAACGGCTTTGCGTCTAAAACATTAACCCACAGCGCCACACCAGGGCTCCATAGTTCATGGAAATTCCTTCCTGGTCTCTAGACTTCTAAAACATGCAAGAATAGTGAAGTGCTTACCTAGTTGGCTACACCCCTGGTTGGGGTGCCATTAGATCAATGTCACTCAAGTTCCTGGCCAGCCAAACTCCTGCAGCAAAAAGTCCCAAATTGAGGATCAAGTTCCTGGAAAAGGCACGTTTTTCCATTAAGTCTGTAGTCAAGCTGTCACTTGTTTTACAAAACATACCGAGGGAGAGGACGCTATCACCGACCTGGGAAAATCTTCCCTGAGGCAAAAGAATTGCAATGGGGGGGGGGGGGGGTTTGTTCATTACATGGCAGGTTGCCCAAGACCCATATGGGCACTGTGTGCCTACACAAAGGCCAACTAAGCAGTCGTCCAGGGCCGAACCTGTTTATGTGTTTCTCTTCTCTTCCCCGATCCCTCTAGTCAGGATGAGATTCTCTAGTTACTACCCTATAACAGAAAAGACTGTTTTTGTCGTACAAGAATATGCCCAATCAAGGACCTCAACAAAGCACTGCCAAAGCCACGATATGGATGATGTAAGAAGCCCAAGGGCGCCAGCCCGGACGAAGATTGATGTACGGGAGCTCTAGGTCAGAGAAACCAAACCCCCGACCTCGGTTACCTCCGGAAATCATTCCTATCGGTGGCGAAGCGGTAGACGCCCCGAAGCCAATCTCCCACGTTGTCTGGGATTTCGGGAGTTTCATTTGCAGGTCCCGCAGCGGTCACACTTGCTCCGCTGGAAGCCATAGTAGCACCTTGGAGTTCCGCAACGGGCTCGCACCACGCACGGTATTGGCGCCTGTGGATCACGCAACTTCCGGTCCGGCACTTCCGCCGACCACTTACTGACAGGGTGGTGCAGCTGGAGTTTGGACTCGTGCGTTCTCCACGCTGGAGGAGTGCGGTCCAGTTATGTCATCGGCTGCTCTGGGTTTTACCACCCTCTCTGGGCCTCCGACCCTCCAACTGGTCACCACCACACATGGTCTTTGAGGAAATGTTTTATTGGCTCAAGAGGACGCGGCGGGGATGGGGTGGGGGGGTGGAGGCTGTCTGGGCTTGTGGCATGGGGGTGGGGCTGGTCAATAGCTGATGCCTAGTTTGGGGCGGATGAGTTTCTGGAAGTCTCCATCAAGCCGTAGAACGCTTGTGGGGTAAAAGGAGAATACCCCAAGAATGTCACCACGCCACCTCTCCCAGGCATGCGCAGGATTTTTATAGGAGGAAAGCCTTGTTCTGCTTTACACACCACCCTCCTCTATGTGGGTTGCACCACTAGCAAATGATGCATGGCTTCCCGGAATCCCCAGCTTGGATGCTGCTGGGGGTCTCCCCTGGCCGCGGGAGGCGCTGGCCTAAGAAAAAGCCATCAGGTTCGGAGTCAGAGGAGGAGGAGCAGGTGGGGCAGAGAGCATCCTCCTTGGGATCAGAAGGCATCTCCTCCGCCATATCCTCAGCTCGGCTTTCCTCCTGGAGTTTGGATCCAAGGCTCTCACACTGAGTCGCCGGGCTGGAGCAGGTAGCAGCGGCGAGTAAAGTTGCTCTAGAGTCGGTCCTGGTGTTCAATTGGGCGCGGTCCCCTCCTTCAGCAGGGTCGGACTCCGCACCCTCTGTTGCTGTCGGGTAAGAAGGCTAGGGGCTCAGTACTCAGAGTCTCCGTCTTCTGCCAGTTCCAGGGGAGGCGCTCCCCTGCAGCCGGCAGCGGGTTGGGCCCAGCCTCCCGCTCCGCCCCCGGGTCGGGTAGTGTGTGCAGCCACCACGAATTCTCTCCAGGGATCCCCGCCTCAGCCCACCAGAGGGCGGTCGAGTCCCCCACCCGGTGCTAGTCCAGGGCCGCAGACCCAACCATGGCGCGGGGTAGGTACTGGAGGCCTTTGGAGCGCCCTAGCCAGGGACGCGCGGTGAGAACTGCGGGCCCCGAAGCTCGGGTGTTGGAGGCGGGTATGGTGGGTGAGCAGGCGCGCTGCTGGAGGGACAGTCGCCGTGGGACTGGAGCAAGGGTCCCACCCGGCCTGAGAACCCCTCTTCAACCCAGCTTAAGCTGCCGTCTCTTTCCCCCTTAGATCGGCACCTTCTCCACCCTTACCAAGGGGCGCCCTTCCTTCCAGTGACAGGGTCATGCTCGAGTCTGCCTCAGAGTAGCGGTTCTCAAAGCAACGGGGGCAACAGGGGCCGCCCCCCGGCAGGGCATAACTTCCCCCGCCCAAGGGCCCGGCGCAGTCCTGGCAGCAGAAGTGGTTCTCGTGCCAGCGCCGCCCCTCCGCCTCGGTGCAGCGCGGGGAGAAGATCAGCTGGGAGAGGGAGAGGGGAACGGTTCATTCATTCATTCACTCATTTTAGTCATCGCGTAAGCACACCTTACACTCAGTTAACGCTAAAGTACGTCCACAGACATTCCCATTTGATCTCCCCAACCATTCTGGGACGTTGGGAGAGCTGATTCGCTTAGCCAGGATCCCGCAGCTAGCAGGTGGCATAACCCCAAGTGTGACCCCAGCAGACCAGACTTCCAATTCAGGACTCCTTGCTGTCTCATGGTAACATTAAAGAGCTCCTAGCATGATCACACACCATACGGGACAACCAGCATTTGAAGATGAATTGGAGAGTCTGCTCCAGAGAAATTCTCTGATTCCAAGAAATTTGGGGGCACTCTGCTTTAGGCGGGGGAGAGTGCAAATAAAAGTAGTACGTGTCACCTGCCCAGAGCTCAAGTCCGTGCATAAGGAACCAGAGCGGTATCCCTGTTTCACTCCTAGGCTGTGGCTTAGGAGGGTGGCCCCTTATATCCTGCCAGGCTGGATTGTGAGGCTGTACCTGATCGCAAGCCGGGCAGCGGGGCAGCAGCAGCTCAGCGTGATGACGGCCGCAGTACAGACGCCCATCATGGTAGAAGTAGATGAGGTTTATCAGGGCCTGACCACAGGCCTGACAGGCAAAGCAAGGCCGGTGCCAGCAGCGCCACTCTCCGGCCCGAGGTGCGAATACCCCGTACTCTCCAGGCCTCAACCGCTGCCTGCACTGCCGGGCAGGGGCGCTGGGCGGGTCAGATCGGCGACACCTGCCACCATCCTACCCGGTTCCTCCATGCCCCAATCCCAACCTAATTCTTATCTTCGCTTCTGGGCCCACCAAAAACCTTCAAACTTGGTTTCCCTTTCCCTACAAGTTACCCCTTCCCCGGCCCCTCAGGGTCCCAGTAGATAGCCCCTTCTGGAGAAGTATGAAAGCAAGGAATGGAGAAAAGGGAATATGTAGCCAGAAGACTACATACCTTCTCACAGGCCCTTCCTTCCAGTTTGGGAGGCAGTTGGCAGGCTACCCCCTGTCCCATAGCCTCCCTCCTCCTCCAGGCACAGAAGACCCTCAGCTGGGCCAGCTCCTCCTCCCCAAGGGCCAGGCAGTAGCGCTCCTGCAGAAAGGCAGTGATGAGTCCCACCGGCAAGACTGAAGTTTGACTAGAGAAGGAAGGCTTAGCTGCCGGGTCTGCAGTAGGCTGGAGACCTTAAGGAGGTGCAGGAGCTAACAGCATAGCAAAGAGGGAAAGGAACTCATGTAAGTCCAACTCAGCCTCACTTCCCCCCAGAATAGTTAGCCCTTAGATCCTAACAGCTTCACAGCAGAGTCCTGTCACCTTCTAGTAGGTCCTTGCCCCCAGGGACCTCAATACTACCTGTCCTGGTGTTTTCTCTGTTTCATATTTCCCCCACCTCACCCCCCAATTGAATTGTAAGCCTTTAGGCTGGGCACATGTAGGGGTTCAATAAATACTTAACAGCTATTCATTTGTACATTCCATTATTGGTTTTAAAAGACATTCATGTCCATTTCCTCATTTGTTCTTCAACTAAGCCTGGTAGTAAGCAGAACAGACACTATTTCACTCATTATGTAGACCGGAAGCTCAGGCTGGAGATGGGTGAGGCTTGGATCCAGTGAGGCTTGGATCCTGAACTCCTAGCTTCTTGGACCAACGTTCTTTTACCAGCAAGCTAAGAGAGAAAGGGACATAGGGAAGATGGGGAAAGGGAGACCCACATCAACGTCCTGTGGGGGTAGCTGCTGCAGAAGGGCCCGAAGCCCAGGCCAGTTGGAGGCTGGGTTGGTGTCCAGGTGAGGGGGTCCCAAGCTCAGAACTGTAGGATCCTGAGGAGACATGGCAGAAGTTGAAAGGAGCCAGATTTTTCCTTTTTCCCATTCTCTCCTCCCCTCCTCAGTGCTACTCAAATTGAGAACTGTTTCCAAGCTCACCCTCCCTACATTTAGAGTGTCCCCCTTCAAGGTAACTGAGAGCAAGGGTAGCTGATCCACTCTTGCATTGGTGGTGTGATTTTGAGTAAGGTTAGGAAGGTCCCACACCCCACAACAGCTTTCCTTATGTTTGAAGCCACCCTCTTCTTCCCCTGTGGGCCTGGTTTCACAACACAGACACTCTAAAATGAAAACCAAATCCTCTGCCTTTGAGTCAATTCCAACTCAAGGACACTAGAGAACAGAGTAGAACAGCTCCTTTAGGTTTCCAAGACTGGAAATCTTTAAGGGAGCAGACAACCTCATCTTTCTCCCTCAATGCTGCTGGTAGGTTTGAATCACCAACTATTCGGTAAGCTTAACTTACTATACCACCAGGACTCTTTATAGACCTTCTAGGAAGGTATACTGATGTGAATCAGAGTCAAAAGTAAAATCCCAAGTCTTGAGGGGCTGGCTGCAGAGTCAGAGATTCCTGAAAAGCACCTCCCAATTGATGGAAATGGAAGACGAGCCAAAGGATAGAAAACCTGTCGGTCTCCAAGGAATAGGTGGGGCTTTTACTACCTGAGCAGAGGTGTTCCCTGAGTCTGAGCTGGCTGGTGGGTCTGGCACACTGAGAGTGGAGTTCTTCCCTTTGTGGGGCCAGTCTGAGTTCAGCACTGACATTGTTGACAAAGCCTGTACAATGACAATAAGAACACTTCCATTTATAAGAACACTTGTATTTACTTATTTACTGGGCCCTTACAATGTGTCAAGCAGTTCTAAATATCTACAGACATTATTATCCCATTCAGTGCTCCCAACAGCTGGGTGATCAGGTGAGTTAGGCCTTATTGTCGATATTACTGTTTTTTGTTGTTATGTGCCGTGGAGTCGGTTCCGACCCATAGCGACCCTGTACAGGGTTTCCGAGGCTGTAAATCTTTACGGGAGCAGAAAGCCTCATCTTTCTCCCAGGGAACAACTGGTAGTTTCAAACTGCTGACCTTGCGGGTTGTAGCCCGATTTGTAACCACTATGCTACCAGAGCTCCTTGTCTGTTTTATTGTTGTTGTTAAGTGCCATGGAGTCGGTTCCGACCCATAGTGACCCTGTAAAGGGTTTCCAAGGAGCAGCTGGTGAGCTTAAACCACCGACCTTGCAGTTCAAACAGCTTTGCAGTCTGGCGCATTAACCCACAGCACCACACCAGGACACACATGTATTATTACAGGTGGCCAAACCGAAGCTCAATAAACATACACACAAAAGGCATGCAGCTTGTCAGTGGCAGAGCCAGGTCCTGAAGCCAGGTCTTTCTGCTCCAGAGTTTCTGAAGTTCAAACTTTGGGGTCTCCCAAGAGTCAGCTGGAGGAAAAAAGAGGCCCACGGTTGAAGGAGAAGGCATTTGCCTTTCTGGTGGACCTTGAAACTGTTTGACCAGAAAAAAGCTGGCCCCTTTTTCTCACCTCTCCAGCTTTAGCTCCCACCATGCCTTATCTTGCACTCACCACTCCAGTGAGCCTGCTTCCTCTCTGCTCCCTACATGGGTCCCACTTTTCTAGCTGTAGGCTTGAGCCACCATGCAACCCTCTCTGGTCCCTCCTTTGCTGAACTTCAGAACTAAGTTCCATTGGTTGTCCCAAAATTTACCCCTTAATTAATGTTGCCCTCTTTTTTTCTCCATATCTTTTTAAACTCCTTGTCTAGTCTACAAACTCAAGGGCAGAGGCAAATCTTGTGGTTCTATCTTTGTTCTACAGCAATTTTATTGGCTAATTCTAAGCACATTTCTTCAGTCAGCTCTCCTCTGAGCAAGCCCTGATACAACCACAATATCTGCAGAGTGTAACTGCTGAGGTAAAGACGATGTGGTCCTGTCCTCAAGGAGCTCACTGTCTACTGAGGGGAAAAAGCACAGATGAACCAGGTAGAAAGGGGGAGATCTGAGATGTATATAGCATCCTGTGATAAAATAACCATGGCAAACTTTTGTGACATTTACTCTGTACCAGGGATGATGCTAGCATTTTATATAATACAATCTCACAACATTCCTATCAATTACTTTCTGTAATCCCACTTTACAGTTAAACAAGCACACAGAAGTTAATGAATTTGCCTAAGGAGCACATTAGAAGACTAAGGAAAGTTTAGAACGAGGTTGCCTCAGAGCTGAGATGGATTCTGACAGCAGGCAAGGTACAGGAAGGCCACCAACAAGTCCCTGGTCTCCATAAATCCCAGCTTTGGGTTGGGACCAGGGCTTGGAGGGTGACAAGTTATATTGCTTCACAGTCCTGAGTTCCAATTAGCTCCCTTTCAGCTGCCCTGTGCCACTCTTCCCTCCTTCCTGGCTCCACACCCACCTCTTTCCTTCCTGCTCTGTCCCTATGGTAGGTTTCCTGTGGAAAGAGACTGGAATGGGCTGTTCACACTAAGGGGCAGGAGTAACCATTTTCCCTAGCAACACTGCTGCTCCAGGCAGTAAGAGCCCTTTGGGGGAGGGGGATAGCAAAGGAGTGAGTCCCAGAAAGTGACTTGCACCCTCTTTCAAATGGGCTCAAGCTTGCATGGAATTGTCTCACACAGAAACAATGCCCAGAAATCGGCCCTCTACCCTTCACCTACCTTTCCATTCTCCCACGTCACGCAAGGCAACCTGACTTCACCACGGTCCAGCACTTAAACCCACCTCACTAACCTGCCATCTCCCTTCCACAATGCCCCTTTCCCCATAAGAGACCAGGCTGAACCCTCCGTCCTCCGCAGGTGAACCCGGCTCAGAAAGGAGCTCGACCTCCCTAATCCACCCCTGTCCTGGAGGGTAGAGCTGGGGTCTTGAATGGACGAGGGTGGGAAGATTTCCTCGGACATTGGAAGGGAGGAGGGGAGACTGTCCTGGCCCAACAAGTATCCTCCTCTGTCCTCTCGACGGATCCCCAAAGTTCTTGGGCTTCACGGGGGCTCATCCCCGGGTCAAAGGCAGTGTGGCTTCCGCGTCCGCGGGGGTTCCCAGTCTGGCAGCTGGGAGTTCAAAGGAGGGGGCAGGGGCTACGCTGGGGTCTCACCCTTGCCACTGCCGGTATCCGAGCTGTTCTGCGCAGACTCCGCCGTTTGGTCCCTCAGCCAGTCCCCACTCAGCGTCCGCCTCTGTCCGCCGGGGGTAACGAGGATCTTCCTCTCCCGTGGCCACCGCCCCCCTACCCCCGGGTCGGAAGAGAGGGGTAGCTTTGGGAGGGGCCTAGAGTTGCAAATAGCAGGGAAAGCACAGGGGTGTCAGTGTGCGACCCGCCATGGGCTTCAGGCGGAATAGACGCTCTAGAGCCGCGTTTATACCGGGTTCTCTGCCACTCACTGGATGAAAACGCCTTCCCACGTCCGCAGCCCATTCTCTAGGCCATTTCCAAGTCCCCCACAGACCTCCCCTCGGGTCGCCTAGCCTCGCCCTTGCCTGAGCGCGCCCCACCCCCAGCCGGTTTCCTAGTCCTGGTCCCGAGTGGGCTCCCGCCCCTTCTCTTCTCCTCAGCCCCTTTCCCGGGTCTCTCCTCCCTGTCCTTTCCTTCTCTATCCCCCTCGTCCACTCTCCTCTCCTTTGTGTTTCCTCCCCGCTGCCCCACCAATTCCGTTGCTTTCCCGCCCCCAGGAGAACATCTCCCTCACGGATCCGTCGCGCCCCGCCCCGTTCCAAAGCTCCGCCCACTGTCGCCAGGCTCCCTCAGCCTCTGGCCGGGAGCGCCCTCTGGCGTTTGCGCATGCTCCCTGTTCCTGACTGCAAAGTCCTCCAAAGGGACCTTCTAGGCTGCGTGCCTGTCGCCCCCGCTTGGGTCGGCCCGCCCGCAGCGTCTCGTTGGTGCTGCCGAGTGACCTCCGACCCCGCGATTGCGGGGCGGGGCGGGGCGGGGAGGCCTTAGCTCCGGGCGGGCGGCGGCGGCTGCTGCAACGGGACCCGGGAGCGGGGCCCGGCGCCGCCCGGACCGAGGGGCGATGTGAGTCGGGGCGCGGCGGGGCGGGGACGAGGCGGCTCCACTGAGACCACGCCGCACCGCAGTCTCCTCTCCAGTCGTAGGAAACCCCGGGAGGGTGGGTCGTGGAGCCCCAGGACTGAGGGCGGGGATCTTGGGACAGCGCGCGGCCCCACCTCCCCCGTTCCTTCCTTCCTTCGCTATGTCTAGAAATACCCCTGACAACCTTGTTACCTAAATCTCCCTCTCACGCCCCAGAAAATCGCCGCAGCCACCCGACACACCATCACACGTCTTGGAACCCCTCAGAACCCCCTCCCTCTGTCTGCGAAATCCCCTGATATGCCCACAGGCATACCCCCTCATGGATTCCCCCAAGTACTTCCACCGCCCGAAAATTCCTCTGATCTCTTATTCTCCTCACCCCGCATTCTTGCTCCATGCCCAAATCCAAAAATCTTGCTCATGGTTCCCCAAATCCCTTCATACATCCTGATTCCCCCTCACCTCCTTTAATTTCCAGTTTATTCCACATCTGCCCCAGATTTGAGCCCCCACTCCCAATCCCCCTGATTTAGTCCCCCTTTTGGACTAAGGATATATTCTGATACCTTACAACTGAAGAACAGAAAAGGTACCCTACAGTCCTTGGTTTCACCCCCATACCCCGATTGATGGTTTAAATCCCACTGTTCATCCCAACCACCTGCCTTTTGACAGTGCACATTCAACCTGCTTCCTCCTTCAAGAGAATAAACCAAACAGAAGGTGGGGCCTCGTTTTACCTAGGAAATTAGCCAAGGATCCTGAGTGGAAAGGACCTTGTTAGCTGATAATGTTTGACCAAAGCAGGCTTGTAAGATTTCAAAGATCTCCAGGGTTCTGGCTTGTCAACTGATATGCCTAAGGCTCAGATGCCTTGAAATATTGGTTTATTAATATCATATTAAAAATTTAGGCCCTTTAGAGCTTGAGGAGCAGGAAGTCTATCAAACTCCCAAATATAAGGTTGAAGGAACCTGTCCTTAAAGAGGAAAACATTCATTTTAGTGATATTTTTCCTACACATCTCTTTTTAGAAGTTACTTACCCTGGAAGCTCAAATTTAGAGATGTTTCATATGTAAAAATGAAGACATTGAAGTGGGGGGTGGTAGTGAGGGGAATTGACTTAATGGTAATCTCTCAGATACTTGTTAAGTTGTTAAGTATTATAGCGTCACTATATAGGGTTTCTGAGGAGCAGCTGGTGGGTTTGAACTGCCAACCTTGTGGTTTGCAGTCCACTGCTGATCCTGCAACACCACATAAAACAAACGAATATTGGTTTCCTGAATCCTAAACCGGGGTTCTTTCCGTCATATCTTAGTGTCATTTTGAGAAAGCTCTTTGAAGAGTCAAAATTCTCTGCAAATGTGGAGTGGTGTTTGTAGTCTTGGTTTTAACAGGATTCACAGGGGGTTAGAGGTGACTTCCGAACTCTTGGGCTTTGTCTGACTCCAAGCTCACTGATGCTAGGAGGGTCTCTCTCACTCAGGTGCCCCAGGGGCTTGGACAAGCCCCAGGCTCTTGAATTTCCTTTCTTCATTGGTGTATCTGTCCCATTAGGACCTTGAACAGGTATTCCAAAAGTGACAACAGATCGGTTTCTTAGCAATTAAGGGTTCCATTAACTGATGGTCTCTGTCTCCTATGCTAGGTGAGCTCCAGGCGTATCCCAGGTGACTTCTTGGCAGATTGCTTGCCATGACGCCCCACCAAGGACAGAGAGAATAAAGTGGAGGTCCTTCCCCATGACTCTCCCATGGTCAGCTCCCCAATGGCCTGGGTGAGGTAAGAAGCTCTGTGGAGAAACTAGTTGTCTGGAATGTCCCAAGTTGGGAGGAAAGAACGGAGCTGGTCACTGTCTCATTCAAGAAGATTCTAGAAGGATATCTAACGCACAGACTCACTTCTTGCTTCACATTGCCATCCATTAACTTCTGGTTGGTGTCAGTCCATATATTTGCTTGTTCCCTTAAATCACTCAAGGGACCTCTTCATCCTTTGCACAAGCCTGACCGTTGTCATAATTCAAGTACATAATCCCAGGGGGGGCATCCACTTATGATAGGGGAGCATACTTAATATTTTGCTTTTTAATAAGATATACCAAAGCAAGGCTTTAAAAATCATGCTCTGTTTTAAGTGCTCAATCTTCTGACTGTATCTTTGTGACCACAATGTAGATGAATTTGAGGTGGATGTTGGAAGAGTGATGAGGGAGGAAAAGTAAGTTTGGATGGCATGGATGGGTTGGGCTAAAAAGGAGGAGAAAGATACCGACCATATCTCTGCTGAGTTTGGACAAGGGCCCCAGCCTGGTATCTAACTCCTGATGCAAGTCATTCCTGGATCCTTACTTTCATCTATACATTTCCTACTGCCTAGCTTTCTCTTCCCTGTCTTTGTTGTTAGTGGACATCAAGTTGGCCCCCAACTCATGGTGACTCCCTATACAACAGAATTCAACTCTGCCTGGTCCTGTCTGCAATGCTTGGTCGGTTACAGATTGGACTGTTGACTGATTTCTGGGAGTAGATTGCCAGACCTTTCCTCCTAGTCTGTCTTTGTTGCTGAAACCTGTTTAGCATCATAGCAACCTACAAGCCTCCATGGGTCAAAATCCTACCTACCTGTCAAGATCCAGATCAAATGTAACCTCTGAAAAATTCTCTCTCCCCTCCCCTCAGCATTAATCCTGAATGCATTCCAACCTAAATTAATGTTTATCCAATGTGTGTCTGGCCCTGAATTGAGAGAGTGAATTCCTTGAGGGAAGGACTGTGTCATACTGGCCCTTTGGACACCGCAGATGAATCCAGTGAGGTGGTTCTGTTGTAGTTCCCCAGCGCAGAGGCCCTTGATGACCTGCCTGTCCCTTATGTCTTTCCTAGGGTGGGCTGGCTGCTCTGACATCATGGGGAGCTGCTGCAGCTGCCTGAACAGAGACAGCATCCCCGACAACCACCCTACCAAGTTCAAGGTACCCTCAACCGCCTCCTTTCCCATGTTCTCATCATGGTCTCCTTGCCCTGCTCAGCTTCCCAAGCAGAGATGAAGTGACAGACTGAGGTTGTGGGCTCATGACGACTTCTCCAGTGCAGGGTCTCCAAGGTGGCCTGAGGAAAAGAGGCCCATGCCGTAGCTGCTTTTGCAGCTGTCAGTACTACTAAGAATCCAGAGGTGCTGTCGTATGGTAGTAAAACATGTGCTTTCAGAACGCTTCCCCTGATCAGCGAATCTCTGTAACTTTAAACCAGTTAAACTAGTTGCTGTTGAGTCTTCTCCAACTCATGGGGACCCCACGTGTGTTAGAGTAAAACTGTGCCCCATAGGGTTTCCAGTGGCTGTGGTTTTCAAAGTAGCTTGCCTTGCCGGGGCCTTTCTTCTGAAATGCTGTGGGTGGATGCGAAACTCCAACCTTTCAGCATGGTTAGATGTTTTGCACCTCCCAGGGACGCCTCTGTAACTTTACATAGAACTTTTTGGGAGAGAAGAGCAAACATCTAAGTTTGTGAGTTAGTATGTGTAAAGCATGAAGAAAGGCCAGAGGTAAGTTTGAGGAGATGGGGAAAAGCTGCCAGCCAGCCATAAACTCACCAAAAAGGTCAAATGCCGTCTCTTTCCACCGTGGGTCTCCATTCTCTTCATACCAATCATGGGGGACCCATGAGTTTGAGCTTCTGAAGCTCAGGAGCTGGAAACCCTGGCCTCCAGCCCTGGCTCTTCCTAGCCTACATTTGTGAGTTAACATGTCTATACAGAGCATTTACAGTAGGACTCAGCACATAGTAAGTATTGAGTACATGTTTGCCATTTGCTTTGAGAAGTGAAGCCAGGCCCAAAGGACCTCTGCATGGACGCCTACTACCCCTCCCCCTTATCTCCCTATAGGGGGAGCCCCTGTTTTGTAGCATGGCATGTTGAGACAGAGCCTGTCCTTGCTCGCCAGAAGAGGGCGCCCTCAGCAAGGCCATACAGTGGGAAGATAGTCTATCTGTTCTGCCTTGGACTTGATATACCTTAAGATTTCAGACTTACAGTTTAACTCTGGTTTTCTATTGACATCTGGTCCTTGGGTACAAAGGCAAGGATCATCCTAAGTTATCTAACTTTGGTCATCTAACCATTGGACTTTGTTGATGTTGAGTGCTGTTGAGTCAGTTCCGACTCCAAGTAGTCACTGGTACGTTTGAACCTCTGACCTTGCCATTCAAACCGACCTACAGCGTCATACCTTGGAGGTCATTTAATCAATACTGTCCCCCTTACTGTCCAAATGAGGAAAAGTGAGGTCCAGCAAGAAGGGATTTGCCCAAAGAAGTGTGGTGGGTTGTTGGCACTGCTTTGCACATCCCCCAAGTCCATGTCAGAGTATCAGGTGAGACCCTCAGACCCCAGCTCCAGCCCTGTATTTGTAACACTAACCGTAACCAATGGACTCAGCCATTGACCTCCTCTGTCCCCTTCCCCCAGGTAACGAATGTGGATGACGAGGGGGTGGAACTGGGCTCTGGGGTGATGGAGCTGACCCAGAGTGAGCTGGTGTTGCACCTGCATCGGCGCGAGGCTGTCCACTGGCCCTACCTCTGCTTACGCCGCTACGGCTATGACTCCAATCTCTTCTCCTTTGAGAGTGGCCGCCGGTGTCAGACGGGCCAGGGTAAGTACCAGCCCCACCCCAGCTCGCAGACTTGGCAGCTGTTACTCAGAGGGGGAGGGTGTTGGCTCAGGGCACAGCAGACTCCCGGGCCAGTGTTCCTTCTCTTCAGTCCCTGCAGCTCCAGCCTGGGTCCCTTTGCACATTAATTGAATAGCTCATGGGAAAGGGCCCGTGCCCCTTGGCAGGATCTGCCAGCCAAAAGCAAGTGACTCTTCCTCCATGTCTTAAGCCAGTTTCCAGGGTCTTTGTTGCCCCCTATATAAAAGCCAGACATCCTGGGCCTCAAGAAGAACAAAGGGTCAGGAGGACGGCTCTGGTGTCTTGGAGCTGAGTGGCTACGGGATGAGAGATTGGAGTGGGAGGACTCTTAGGGCTTTGCTATACAGCCAACCCTGGAGAGGTTCATCTTTGTTCCCCTTGACCTGTGGGCAGTGAGGTGTCCTCCATTCTTCCCATCTTTCTCAGCAGTCAGAGATCAGAGTGTCATGGGACTGTTCCGGGAGCTCAAGGCTGGAAGCAGCCAGAGCTCTTTAAGGAGTGGCCTGATCTGGGCTTATCCTTCAGGATCTAGACATGAGCTCTGCCAAAGGAGTCCTGCGTGGGGTTGTGCTAAGTGCAGTGTGGGACTGAATATGCAGAGGTGGAATGAGCCACTTTGTGATGAAGCTGCCAGCAAGACAGTGAGTCTCTGGGGAGGGTACAGCTTGCTGGAGAAGCCTCCTCTTCCATGCATCATGCCCTTAGAACTCATACAGCAGTGATAGTCATACTGGGTGAGCAGACAGGGGAGGAGGAAGTCTACCCTGTGCCTGGTGGTGTTGGATTCATACTTGGGACCCCAGGTCTGCCCTAGGCCCCAACATCCAGTAAAGCCAGTTGCCATTGAGTCAGTTCTGACTCTTGGTGACACATGTGCTCTATAGGGTTTTCAGTGGCTGAGGTTTTGGAAGCAGATCATCAGGCCTTTTTTCCAATGTACCTCTGGGTAGACTTGAACCTCCATCCTTTCGGTTAACAGACAAGCGTATTACTGTTTGCACCACCTGCTACTTCAGGCCCCACACAGGTTTTCCTAATACCCCTGCTTTCCCAGCCTTTCCTAGTCCTTGACAGATCTTACCAGGATAGGCTATAACTTTCACATCTCATTCCTGCAAACCAGCCATGTCCTGTTTATCTTTGTTGTGGGGATGTGCATATACACACAAGTAACCTCCCTGAGTGCGGACTCCCACTCTTCTCAACAGAATCCCAGGCTGGTCCAATGTCCCAAGAGCATCTTGGGATCCTCTACATCACAGGTGCCCAGCCCAGCTGCAAAAATGGTGTGGGGCCATGTCTGACCTCCTGTGGCTTCACAAGAGCGAAGGGGGAGAACCAGCAGCCCAAGGCAGATTGCTATGAAGCAGAGTTCAGACATACCTGCACCCTTCTGTCTCCTGTTCTGACACCAGCCATTCTACTTCTATATCTGACACGGCATTCTCCTTCTCTTCTGGACTCAACAGTCCATTCCAGTGGCCACACAGAATAAACAGACAATACTCATGATTATGGGGTTTCTAAGGGAAGTTGCCAGAGTGTTATTCAGGATCAGAAACTATTCAAGAGTGCCTCTTCTCAGCCATGCTCACAGGCATGCTTCACTCTTGTCTTGGGCCTTTCAACCATGTGACCTCTTGGCAAGTGTTACTAACTCCTTTAGCACTGCTGATAAATACCCAGAGGGCACCCAGTTTTGCAAAGCAGCATCCTGCCCACAGGACCTCAGTGTTCTGTGGTCCCGGGGCTGGGAAGCCCATTGCTCTGTCTTTTATGCTGCTGCTGCTGCCAGCCCCGCTTTTCTCAAGGGATCTCGTATTCTGCTTGAGGCTCGTCTTGCTTCATGGTCCTGAGAGCGTCTATTCTTGCTTCTGAGATGGCTCTTTTTAAACCTGTTGTTGTTGTTTTTAAGTGCCATCAAGTCAGTTCCAACTCATGCAGACCCTGTGTAGGCTTTCCAAGGAGGAGCTGGTGGGTTTGAACCACGAGCTTTGTGGTTAACAGTCCAGTGCTGATCCTACAGCGCCGCCCCAGGACTGCCTTTTTAAACCTAGCAGTCTAGGTTTAAAACTAACCAGTCCCCCCGTTAGAGGTTAGCGTCCCATACACCCTATTTCCAAGGTCCCACCGTATCATTAGGAGTCCTGCTGTGGGCTAATGCACTGGACTGCAAAGTCACTTTGAACCTCAAGATCGGAAACTCACCAGCTGCTCCTCAGAAACCCTATATAGGGTCGCAATGGATCAGAATCGTCTCGATGGCACTTAACAACAACAACCCTGTCATTTGATGGGAGTTACAGATCTGCTATTCCACACTACCCTGCTGTTCCCAGGGACCTTGAGAAGCTGCATCGGAATGACAGGCTCTAAGTTGGGCTGCCTTGAGGAGTCATGCAATTGCCTTGCCACGTTGTCCTGTGCAACTCCTTCCAGCCTTCTTTCCTTTCAGCGCCAGAGCTGAAGCTCCCAGTCAGGAACCCACACCTAGGTGGCCTTCACTCTGGCCAGGCACTGGGCTAAGTACCCAGTGAATAAGTAATGAACAGACCCTCCTGCCCTCACAGCTGAGCTGAGCATGAGTGCCCCAGGTGATGCTCACTTTTGTGGGTGCAGGGGGCTGGTGGACCCAGGAATTCTCAGTGAATTCTAGCCTTTTCGACATGACTTTTTGCCTTTCTTCCCCTCACCTCTGCACACGCACATCCATACTGAAATGATTTCGTCTCAGAGGGACTATAATGGGAGACAATGGCAATGAATAGTGTAGGAGAGGCGAGAGGACTGGGGCCCAACTCCCCCAGTAGCTGTGACTCTGAGGTACAACTGGGAGGGGTGCTCTGGAAGAGGTGAGACGAGTTGTGGGACGTTTCCCGAGTGTGTGTTTCTGTTGAGTTCCTTGAGTCCTTTCCTGCTGGGCACAGGGCAGGAGGGGCCTCACCTCCTCTCCTTCTCCAGGGATATTTGCGTTCAAATGTTCCCGGGCCGAGGAAATCTTCAACCTCCTTCAAGATCTTATGCAGTGCAACAGCATCAGTGTGATGGAAGAGCCCATCATCGGAACCCGCAACAGCCGCCCTGCGGAGCTGGACCTCCCTCGGGGCCCCCAGCTTCCCAACAGTGAGTAGATGCCTACTCTCGGCATCCCACTGCACCCACACATGCTCAGAAGCATGAGTCCAGCTGGCAGGTGGGGCAGTGGCAGCCGGACAACAGCAGAACTACCACTGGGGCAAGTCAGTCCTGGGCTGGGCTCTGCAGGCGACTCAGGCTGGAGGCCTGCACCTTGTTGTGAGGGGTGGTTGGGAGCGGACAGGAAGGTAGGTTTCCATAGGCACTACAGTCTGGAGCATCTTTGCTTCCTCACTTCTGCCTCTGGGTCAGACCACGTGCCCTGCGGCTGCTGGTGCTGGCCTCCCTGACTGTGGCCGTCTGCTGGAGAAGTTTGCAGACTTTCCATGTGCTCATTCACTGAGCTCTGTATTGTGGGCTGGCCTGCAGGGGCACAGCAGACAGACGATGCAGTCCCTTGCTTTTGAGGTGTTCCTTGGGAGCTCTCTGGCAGAGCTAGAATGAGGCAAAAGGACAAGCCAGGGACTAACAAGGTGTGTTACATCAGTGTTTTGGATGAAGGTATAATGGAGAAGGTGGGGTTCACACTGAGCTTTGAGGAGAAGGGTAGGGTTTGAAGAACAGAGAGAAGGTAAAGGATAATGGGGTACCCACCTTGAGGGCCCTGAGTATCTCCTCTCTGATTAGAGGAGCGTAGTGGTTATGAATTGGGCTGCGAACCTTAAGGTTAGCGGTTCGAAACTACCAGCCGCTCCGTGGGAGAAAGATGAGGCTTTCTACTCCCGTAAAGATTTACACCCTCGGAAACCCTGTACAGGGTCGCTATGGGTCGGAACCGACTCGACGGCACTTAACAACAACAACAACATGATGCCTAAAGCACAGGGTTGCAGGTAACTGTCACCTCCCAAGCTTGTCTCTTCTGTGCCCAGCGCTAGGCTACACCGTCTCCAGCTTCTCCAATGGCTTCCCTGGCTGTCCAGGCCAGGGCCCGAGGCTCTCAGCTCCCCAGCGCCCCTCGACGAGCAGTCTGCGTCACCCCTCACTGGGGGAGGAGTCCACTCATGCCCTCATTGCCCCCGATGAACAGGTGAGAAGCAGATATCCTGCTCCCTGCCCCCTTGGGCCGGGAAGGTTTGGGGCTCAGGAAATATGACTGCCTCCTCCCAGTAAGGATCCCAGGGAGAAGGAGAGTGTTGGTGGGGTCATTCCTGTCCCCAGAAAGGGAGGCCTGGAGTGCCAGCTCTTCTGCCTGCTGCTTCTCTTCTCTCATCTCTCTCTCTCGTTTTCCTCCCTCCTCCCTGTGCCCAGTCCCACACCTATGTCAACACACCGGCCAGTGAGGATGACCACCGAAGGAGCCGGCACTGCATGCAGCCCCTGCCTGAGGGACGGGCTCCCTTCCCCTCACAGGCCCGGGGCCCAGACCAGCGGGACCCTCAGGTCTTCTTGCAGCCCGGCCAGGTGAAGTTTGTGCTGGGCCCTCCTCCATCTCGGCGGCACATGGTGAAGTGGCAGGGCCTCTGCCCTAGCCTGCAGGACCCTCCCCACCACAACAACAACGAAGGCGCTTCTGAGTGCCCTGCCCAACCCAAGTGCACCTACGAGAATATCAGCGGAGGCCTGCGACGAGGGGCCGGCTGGAGACTGAGTCCAGAGGAGCCCAGCTGGAATGGCCTCGCCCACCGCCGGGCTACCCTGCTGCACTATGAAAACATGCCCTCCTTACCCCCCGTGTGGGAGAGCCAAGCCCAGCAGCTGGGGGAGGGACCTGGGGATGATGGGGACTCGAGGGATGGGCTTACACCCTCCTCCAATGGCTTCCCTGATTGTGAGGAGGACGAGACCCCACTGCAGAAGCCCACCAGCACCCGGGCCACCATCCGCAGCCACGGCAGCTTCCCTGTGCCATTGGCACGCTGCCGTGGGTCCCCACGAGTCTTCAACTTCGATTTCCGCCGGCCAGGCCCTGAGCCCCCCAGGCAGCTCAACTATATCCAGGTAGAGCTGAAGGGCTGGGCTGCTGACCACCCCCAGGGGCCCCAGAACCCCTCGGCCCTCCCCACCCCTGTAGCCACCCCCAACCCTGCTCGCAGCTCAGACTCCTATGCCGTGATTGACCTCAAAAAGACTGTGGCCATGTCCAAGCTGCAGAGGGCTCTGCCCCGAGATGATGGCACCGCCAGGAAAACCCGGCACAACAGCACCGACCTGCCTCTGTAGGGACAGCCCAGCCCTCAGCAACCCCCGCTCCACCTTGTCCCACCTCCGCCTCAGGCTCCTGTCCCCCCAACCCACCCCCAGGGTTCAGGGTTGCTCTGCAGAAAGGCACTGAGGTGAGACCATGCTGGGTGGGGTCCCCAAAGATATCAGCCATTGAGTCTCTTGGCCTCCGAGCTGGGGAGAGAAGAGGGTAACCAGGCAAGGAGAGAGCCAAGATGTAAACTGTGAAGGGCTCCCACGATGGCATTTAGCACCTTCCCATATGTCCACCCTGCCACTATGTCTGTCTGTCTGTCTGTCTCTGTGTATGTGTGGATTTTTTTTTTTTTTTTTGGTTGAAATTTTGAAACGTTTTGTACCTGTTGGTTTTATTTATCAGTTTATTTTTCTATTTATTGTTTTAAATGTAATTTAACATATTTATTATTAATATTATAATTATTTTTAAATTCTGGCTCAGTAGATGATGTCGCTTCTTCTGGAATCCTGCCTGGCTGTGTTCTACAGCGGGAGTAGAAGGAGGGCCCAATAGATATAGGTCACAAGGGGTCATTCTGGGAAATTTGGGGTGATTCTGGTTCCTGTGATAATTCTGACCATCTCTTTTTTTCCTCTGGGAGGCGGGAGGCCCAGGCCCAGAGCTTAAAGTTGCCAAAGATGGGTGCTCTTTGGAAGTAAAATGACAAACAAACCTTAGGACCCTAGGTGCAGAAAGGGGATCTGTGAGGGAAGTTGCCCTTATGAGAAAAACCCTGATCCTCTGAGGTGGGCAGAGAGCAGGCAGTGTGGGCAGGAGAGTAGTCTGCAAAATCCACCTTCTCTCGAACGCCTCATAGATTCTCCCTCCTGCAACCCCAAGGGCCCCAGGGGGCACTGTACCCCCTTTGGTGCCCTCCAGCACAGCTAGGTCAAGGCTGGAATGTTTAAACAGGACTTTACAAAAAGCCCCAGGATAGAAATGGACAGAACGCAGCACCATATAATATATTACTAGATCATCTGACTTGCAAAACGTGATTTTCCCAGGGAACTGACTCCCAGGTGTGGACTCCTAGGGTACCTCCTACCCTTCCTCAGTGGGGAGGACTTCACAGAGCCGTACGACAACATGCCTAGAAGCCCGGGTCTGCCAGGGCTCCTTCTCCCTGTCCTGAGGGGTCCTCTTTCTCCCTCCTTTACCCTGTCTCCCTTCCTCTGAGACCGTGTCTATCTCAAACCCCTGGACGGTTGATCTAAAGGAAATCCAGTTTCTGTGCTAAGCCATTTGCCCTAGGTGGGCAGTGAGAGGTTTATTCTAGACAAGGATAAGCCTTGTCTGTAGTCCTTGTGGAGCAAGCTGGACTGTCTTCTTCACAAGGTAAATAGGTTTGTGTGTCAGTGTGTGTGGGGGGGGGGGGGGTAGGGGGAGTGGACTAGGACTTGCCCCACCTACCTTCCTCCCCATCTCTCCTGCTGCCCAGAACACCTGGGCCCCCTTCCCTGAATGGGGATTGGACAGAACAGTTTCTAGAATCCCCTGGCCTTGCGTGTCACCTCTATCAGGGAAACTGAACAAGGAATGGGCACAGCAGGATGTGAGTGAGGCCCTTCCTCTGATAGTCAGCAGGGCCCCAGAGGGTAGTTACCAGAACCCCAAAGCTGGCACCAAACCCTACTCCACTTCCGTTTCATCACTGGGTCAGAGGAATCCCTGCTGCAGGCTAGATTCATTGTATTGTTTTCCATGCTGCTCTCTGGGTGGCTTACCCAGGCAGCTCAATTCCATATCCTTGGTGTTCTCCCACACGACCCCCACCCCACCATCTGGCCTCCAAAGTCGGGAGCAGTGGTCCCTCAAAATGGCACTGCTAAGATAGCAGGTCTGGGCCGTGCCTTGTTTGGGATTTTCAGCTCTGCTCAGGACCCTCCTTACTCATGGACAGATGCTGTCACTGCGAAGGGGGATCAAAGGAGCCATCTTTGCTACCTTAAGCATTTGATTACCCCAAGTGGTCCTCAGATGTTTGCACCTGGAAAACATGGCACCAGCTGTGGGAAGTAGCCAATGAGAAGATGAAGGTGACTCCAATTGGAAACAGACAGCTGTAAGCATGCTGTATTCACACCCCAACTGCTCCAGAGGCAAAAAGTACCCAGTAGTCAGTACGTCAGACCTTGGGCCTATTGCTGCCTCTTTCCAGTGCAAGAAGGAGCAGTTACCTCATTCTCTGGGGTCACCAGACCTTGGTCTTCCCTTGGGCTCCCCCTCTAGAGTAAGTGCTAACTGCCTCAATGTGGGGGGTGCCCCTGGAATTGGCTTCCAGTGTGCAGTGTGGCCCCCAACCTCTTGTGTCCCTTCCCCGGGGCACTGCCTCTGACCCACAAGGTCTGCTGTAGGAATTTTCCTCTGGCAGGGAGGTGGGGTGTGTGTGGCTCCTTTCCTGGAGGGAAGGGCGGTGGGAATGGTGCCCAAGAGCCCGTCCTGCTGACATCAGGGTGTGGTGCGCAGATGGGATCAGTTTCCATCACCCCCATCGTTCAAAGATCATCCCCAACTGGAGCGTGTTTGCTGAGTATTCACTTCTGTCCTGCAGAAGCAGGCCCTGCCCACACCCCCAGGCTGCCCTCCACATAGGATGGGGCCCAGCATCCTGTCCAGGAGTGACATTTCAGGTCAGACCAGGAGGGGCCTGCCCAGAGCCCACTCTGGGTAATAGCACTTTACAGCGGTATAAACACTGTGGACCTTTTATCTCTGTCCTGCTCTCTGGGTGGGATTGTTATCTTCACCGCACAGAGGAGGAAACAGGCCAAGAGGTGAAAGGACTTGCCTCAGGCCACAAAATTGATTAGTGGCTTGAGTTGGGGCTGGATGCTTGGCTGGTCAGTGGGTCGGCTGGTAGACTGGTTAGCTGGTCAGTTGTGTATCTTTCTTCCACAACTGCTCCCAGCCTGGCCTAAAGGGGCTGTGTGCTTCCCTAGGTGGGCCGCAGGGAGAGTGGACTGTTAGGTGCCTTTACACACACACACACACACACACACACAGGAGGGGAGGGGCAGTCACAGCAAGGGGCCACATTCCAGCATTCCCACTCAGGAATCTCTGAATTCCAGGCCAGGGCCCTGCCTGCTTAATAACAAGGTGAACCTGCTCTCCCTGAGGGCCTGCCCTATTGCCCACCCTCCATCCCAGCTCCCTCTATTGTACTCCTGTGATTCCTCAGGAGTGGCTTCCATTCTGAGAGTGGGAGGAACCAGCAGGTGTGTAGGAAGGGGCCTGCCCAGACATCCCTATCCTGAGGAGCAACTTCGCTTCCAAAGAGGCTCCATCAGGTCGGGTTGGGACCTCCCTGGGCTCTGGGGGGCTCTCTGACCTATATCTTAATATTGAGAGTCTTGGGAGGATGGTTTCTAAAGAGGGGCCATAGAGGCCTGAGGCACAGGGATAGGGAGAGCCTGGTAAACTAGAGGACTATTTGTTGGGCTGCTAACTGCAAGGTGAGTAGTTTGAACCTACCAGCTGCTCCATAGGAGAAAGACAACGCACTGCTCCTATGAAGATTTATAGTCTTAGAAACCTTAAGGAGCCATTCTACTCTTTGCCATAGTACCACCACAAACCAGAATTGACTTGGTGCCCATGGAGCTGTGCTCACAGATCAGAGTCCAAGATAGAACCTTGGAGCTGGTGGGTCTGCTAGGAACACCTGGGGATCTTTTTGACAAGATTTCTGGAGCTGTTCACCCCGGCACTCCCTACCTTACAAACTCTGTACCTTGGTCTTATAAAATGACCACCTTTCCTCCCTTTGGGCCCTCATTTTGCCCTCTCTGTCAAGGATGCTGAACTGTGAAACTTGGCATCAGTATTTGCTGATCACTTGACTTCTTTGTGCCTCAGTTTCCTCACGGATTAAATAAGATCCTATCTGTCCATCATACACCATGGCAACTGACCTAGAATAAAAAATTATTTTCACCTAAAGTTTGTTCTTTCTAGCACAAGGTGTCCACTCAGTTGTGTTCCAGTTTAACCCCCCATAACCAAGCCCAACACCTTCCTTGTGCCAGGTATGGTGCTGTGGGTTAATATGCCAGACTGCAAAGCCATTTGAACTGCAAGGTTGGTGGTTCAAGCTCACCAGCTGCTCCTTGGAAACCCTATACAGGGTTGCTATGGGTCGGAACCAACTCGACGGCACTTCACAACAACAAAATGCAGCCCCAGTTGGCATTGATTTTACTGGCCCTGCTGGCTCTTGGGACCTTAAAACCCAAAAGACCCAGGCCTGCTTTCTCATTGGGTCAATTCTGACTCATGGCAACTTCATGTGCTGTAGAGCAGAACCCATAGATGGTAATCTTTACAGGAACAGAGCGCTGGTCTTCCTTTTGTGGTGCCACCAGATGGATTCAAATCACCAACCATTAGTTTAATAGTTGAGTACAAACCTGTCACACCACAAAGAGAAACTTGGGACCTTAAAGTTGACTTAAAACTATCAGGTTCTTCTACATGAGCTCTGGTAGTGTAGTTGATTATGAGTTGAGCTGCTAATAGGAGAAAGATGAGGCTTTCTACTCCCTTAAAGATTTACAGAAATCCAAGTCGCTGTGAATCAGAACGGACTCAATGGCATGCAACAGCAATCAACAGCGGTGATCTCCACCCCTACACCCCATCTTATATTGCAGTGCTTGACTTTTTAAATCAAAATCCACAATGGTCCATTCATCTAACTCTGTCCCTCTCAGTGTGAACAGGGGGATGGAGGGAGAGTGGAGATGGACGACTGGCGGTGTCAGAGAGAAGGGTCTGGGAGGAGGTTCTGTTGGGGATGGATCATGAGGGTTCAGGCTACAGTATCAACTCTTTCAGAAGCTTCTTTCTGTCTGCCCAGTGGCTGTTAAGAAGTCTCCCTGTTTTCTGCAGTGTCTTTTCTGCCACTTGTCCTGCTCAACAGAAGATAATCTTTTTAGGTATCTCTGGGTGTTGGTATCCCCAGGAATGGGAATCCCTC